CGAACTGGCTTCCCAACCCAGGCCACCAGACTTCTCCGGCGACGACTCAAGCTCCGCCTCCACTGCAGACGCTGTTTTGCCGAAATTGAATGGCTGCATGTCAAACCCATGGGCAGTGTCCTTTGCCCTGCGGATCATAGCTGCGCATCCCTCGAGCATTTGCTCTGCCTCCCTGCCCTTCTTGACTTTGCTGCCATGGCTGATTTCCTGCGATGTTTCCGGCACCATACACTAAACCCAACGGTCAATGGTACTTATCTGACCCTAGTCTTCTTTCGGACTCGTGCATCGGTTCAATTCCTTTAGCACTTTCTGCGCATCGGACAGGAAGCATGACAATTTCCGAGTGATCCCAAATGCATTGAGCAATGAGGACAGCCCAACCTTGACCGCGAACAGAAAACAACACTCCCAGTGACATGTGTCTAGCTGCAACCAACCCGTCAAGAGTTTGTCCTCCTTCTCGCCGGTAACCGTCTCGCGACGGATGTAGTCCTGGATCGGGACAGCGAAGCGTTTCTCGTAGTCCTTTCGGCCTCTGAAGTCGTGGTCGTGGTTGGAGGTTTCCCAAGCTTGCCACTGCTCGAATGCCTCCTTCGAAGTGTTGCCCTTCGAGAGGGCATGCTTCTCGTACTCGATCCAGTCCATGTACGCCTCAAGAGTGCCGGTGATGTTCTGCTTCGTCGTGAAGATTTTCTTGGTGTAGCTGGCCCAGTCGAAGCTGTCACGCCGAATTCCTTGCCCACGCGATGGACACGTCTTTTGGTAGTGGAGGATCAAGTGCCGCAGTCCTTCCTCTGTCTTGGTCAGACGAGTCCAGTCGGCCAGTCGGCCGTCCTTTTCCGCATCAGCTCTGCAAGCTTGCACATCTCGCTTGCACGGTTTGCAGAAAAGGAATTTGTTGATCGCAGGAACAGTCATGCAGATTGAGCACATGCGCTCAAACTTCCGCTTGTTATTCTGAGCTGCGGCTTCCTGCTCCGGCACCATGGGAAGGTCCGCATCCTTCTGCTTCGACTTGAGCTGCTTGCCCTTCTTTGCTGATGCAGAGGATGCTCCCTCCGGCCCATCCAGGGAGTCGTCAACTCCAAAATCGAACTCTTTGTCCGGCCCGTCCATCTTCAATTCCATGTCCTGCATCTCCGCTCCCGCCTCTCCGTCATGAAAAAGCTTCGGCAGGGGCCGGTGGAGCTCTGACTCCGCAGCCTTCTCTTCATGATGTGGGGCAGTCGCAGCGGAATGCTCAGGAGCGACGTCGGACATGATCGATGAAGTTGGAACACACGACACTATCACACGCCTTGAAGCCACAAGCCTTCCTGCCACGCTGACATCAATGTACTGCAGCCACAAACAGTGCAAAGCTGAAATAGGCTGAAGTTGCGGTCACAATACGTGCAAAGCTCAAGTTTGGGTCAAATGACCAAATGTACTGAGTCAACCTTCACCCGAATCACACGAATCTACGATCTCACTCGCTGCACTTGCAAACCCTCCACTCGGTAATAGTAGCAGCAGTGCTTACCGTAGTTCAAAAGCTCCTATGCCCCTAGCCATCTCCAAGATGGGTTCTAAATGCTCCTTCAGAAAAACCTGAAACAATGTGCTACCTCTCCAAGATTAAGATGGGTTCTAAATGCTCCTTCAGAAAAACCTGAACAAATGTGCTACCTCTCCAAGATGGGTTCTAAATGCTCCTTCCGAAAAACTTGAACAAATGTGCTACCTCTCCAAGATGGGTTCTTAATGCTCCTTCAGAAAAGCTTGAACAAATGTGCTACCGGCTAGCTCCCTATCGATCACATTTGTTGCTAAGGCTAAGGGGTCCCTTTACTTCAGCCGGACAGAAGGCGCACCTCCCTTCCAGAGTCAAAGAATGAGGAAGGTGATGAAGCCACAGTCCACGCCTCAAGCTAGACTTCGATGTCTTCAAATGCCACTGCAAACACTGAAGTGATGTGATCCAAGGATTCGTGGAATCGTGGAATCTCATGCTTCCCTGTTCACTGCCGCTGCATACTGACTGCACTGTCTCCTGCGACATTTAAAAGAATCTACTCAGCTGCTATATCCATCTCGGCTATGATGCTCCAGACCTCGAACCTACCGACGACATAAAATCAAGCTCA